AGCTGCTGCTGCTGGGGGGGATTTTGGTGGCTCTGCTGTGGGGAGCAGGGCAGGTGCAGGGATGGAAATGTGCTGGGTATCCCCTTACCCGGGGCYGGTGTCACTCTTGACTATTTGAATGTTGGCTCAGTGGGGCTGTGTTGGGTGACACAAAGAGCGGAGATGTTTTTCTGCAGTGGAGAGTGTTGTGGTTTTGTGAGTTTTCCCTGTTTGATCAATATCAGGCTTCAGGACCTGGGCTCTTGTGTCCTTTGCTAATCACCAGTGATGATCATGCAGAGCCCTGACTGTGCTCGTCAGAGAACATTCAGTGGAGTCACTTTCCTGTTTAATCTTGACTCCATGAGCTGCAAAGTTCAACCACGATGCTGGGAAACTGGAGTTTATTTTGATCACTCATGGGCATTGTAATCCATGTTAGTTTTACCAATGGCATTGCCATAAGATTAARTGAAGAGCCACATAATGGGGCAGGTGAAGGGGGACATGAAAAGTAAAGCTGGAATTTTGTTTTACAGGGATGAGCTGAAGCATATGGAGGAAAAGGGTAAAAATCAGGATGAGTCCCTGTGCCACGGTTCAAATCTCCTCTGCTAGGAAAATGAAAGGTTTTAAGATYGGGACCATGCTGGGTCTCCACCACACTGCAATACCCTCCAGTTTCCAAATGAATTCAGATCCTGAGAGCTGTGAAGGATTTAACAGGCAAGGTGTGTTAAGCTCTGTAGTGCATGGACTTCCCATGGACTTTGGGTAAGTGCAGGAATGGGCACATTGGGCCTTGCACATCAGGACCGCAGTAACCAAGGGGATCTCATCTGATGCTTTGGTGGATCCAGGAAAAATGAAAGCACAGCAAAGAACTCTATGGCTATACGAAATGAACCACCAGCATTTTCTCTCTTCAGAATGATGATGCTCTTTTTTTTTGCTGTGGGATATTAGTGCCAGCAGTATATTATGTGAATATGCATACCTCAATCTTCTAATTGCATATTTTTTACAACCATAAAGACTTGAAATGCAACCCAAAGCAGTTTTTCATACCGTGCCAGCTCTGGGCAGCCATTCCCATTGACTTCTGACATCTCTCGTCTGTCAGCTTCCCTGGGCTGGGCACATCCTGCATCTGTCCCCATGGGCTGTGCGGGGTGGTTGTGCTGATGGACACCCTGTCCCCTCCAGTGGCACAGGGCAGTGGTGCTGTGYTGGCTGTCACGTTCTCAGGGGBTTCATGGAGGTGGAAGAAGGGATGTGCAGCATGGTTTGCTGGGGCTATGGGGTTTTGTGTGGTAACATCTGCAAGATGCAGGTTTTGCCTGCTGAATCTTGTGGCATGTGAGGTTGTGAGGGATGATGTTTCATGGGATGTAGGAAATACGTTGGATACTCCAGGCTTTTCTTGTGAAATCAATTGGGATTGTCACGTTAAAGGATGAAGTGCATGAACATCAACAGGGAAAGAGGGGAGGTGTGGTTGTTCCTGTCCTTTCTAAGCCTTTCACGGGGGAGATGTGCTCAGAAGAGATGGATAAGATCTGTTTCTGCCTGTGAGCTGAGGACAGAAATGACCAATTCATGTTCTGCTCTATTCATGCTGGAACTCTTTAATTTTCCACCTGCTGTGGTGCGTTGAGCTTAGGGAGCTGCCAGATCCCCACCCAGCTGCTCCTTCACTCTCACCCATAAGGAGCAGCTTGAAAATAGGACAGAAAAGCCGATGGATCAAGATAAAGACAGTGAGATGATTCACCCATTGCTCTCACAGACAAAACAAGCTTGACATAGAGAGAATCAATTTAATTTATTGCCTATTGAAAGTACAGTAGGGTGATGAGAAACAAACGCAAAATTAGAACCTSCTGCCTCCACCCACCAATTTGTCCCAGGCTCAACTTTACCCCTTCATTCCCAGCTCCTTCACCTCCTCCCCACGACAGCACAGGGGGAAGGAGAATGGGGGCTGCATCAGGCCATAATGAGTTGTCTCCTCCACACCCTTCTCATGCTGTCCCCCTTATCCTGAAAAAAAATCTGTGTTTTACTCAGTCAGASTCCACTGGGAAAAGCCAATCATCTCATCACCAAGTCAAAGCAGGCCGGGAGAGCAGCAAYACAGAGCAGGGAATCCTGTCCTTACAGGAAGAGAGGCAGAGAGAACATGCAGGGCTACCATGTGTCAGTGACCAYCTCTGGTGAGTGACTGGGRACAGTGTGTTCACACAGAATTACCAACCCCAGACAGTGATACAGCCCATAATATCACACAGCACAGAGCCACAGCAGAAAGAAAGGTAAACCAAAGAGATAAACTTGCCTTTTAGTTCAGTTATTTCTTTCAGTGAATACCAAAACATTTATGGTAGGTTTGCAGTATTGCTGTTGCTGTCTTGCAGCCAGCCTGTATCTGTTACATTAAGAATATAAAAATTTAGCCGAAAATAAACTCTTTGCTGGTCCTCAGAGATCAAAGGGCCTGGGTGGGCTCAGCTTAGTTTCTGATTATAGCAAATACAACACTCTAAATCATGTCACGTTCACTAAGAACTTTCACAATGACAGAATGACAAATAGTGCATTTTATTGTAGAAATAYGCATTTGGAATTGCCACTAATAAATACACTCACTGGATTAGCACTAAAGAGATTTTAATTTCTTTTTTTTTTAAATCAACAATGGGTAATTCATTAATTTCAACTTTGCTATCAGTTAAACCTATATGTGGAATTTCACCAGGGAACAATCTGATACAGTTGGAAGAGCAAATCGTATGGAAGAGGYGTTCTCTGCTTTGGGGAGGAGAGCGAAGCAATCCTGTTGTCCTGTCTGCTCAGTCATATTTTCATCCTGTGCCAGGGAGGATTTCAAATGCCAAATTTATGCTTTTGGCAGAAGTACAGGTGAGACTGTACTCAAAATACTCTGTTGCTGCCATCCTCAATTGTGGGGGCAGCCGACTGATAGGGAAACGAGGGATATCAAGGGTTCTGAGTACACGGGCTGTGGATCTTGGGCAGGGGCTGAACATTTCATTAGCATCACTCCCTCTTCCACCAGGCTCAGGCAAAGGGCATCAGCCTGATAATCCATCACCCACCAGCAGACTCCAATGACCWCATTAATCCTTTCACCACACATCTCAGAGATTTAGACCTCATTCTTACAACCAGGGCTAAATTATGCTATTAATAAAAGTATAACTGAAAGATTTACCTAAACCAAAAGAGAAATAATAGTGTATTTAACTCACACAGTTYTAGTTCAATAAATATGAATGAAGTTTTCTTAACTTAGATGGTGAACAGAGAATATCTGTGTTCTCTACATGATTGGAGGGTTCCATTAGAGAGTATATTACTTGTTTTCTACAGTGAAAGATCAATATTTCACATGCATTCCAGCTTTTATCACATTTCCTACTTCATGAAAATCTTGCACTTCACACRGGAGAGAATCTTTAACAGTGCCTTTTCCAGCTTGGGATTGCTGAAAATCAGAATAAGGGAATGAACACCTGGAAAAGCATACAGATATATGGATATAAGAAGTATCATCGTATTTTCACTCTTCTTGGTATAAATTATAGTGAAGATCAAACAAACAAAGTTAATGCTGTACATGACTAAGAAGGAGAGAATAGATTTCATGGCTTTGATGTGGGCATCCATGCTGAGGCTGYTCATGGAGTTTGTCTGCATGTTGCATTTGTGCCTCCAGAGAGAAAAGAGAAGGAAAACAGTAGAAAATATGACTGCAATGAATGGAGCAGCATATTCGACGCCCACGAGAAAATAAAGAGGGAAAAAATATTTATCCATTCTAATATTTGCTTCCCAAAAATTTCCAAGRCAGGTGAAATTGTGGCTGTCATGCACATTTTCAGTGATGGAGTAGGCAGTGATGACRATAGCCAAGGCTGAAAGCACTGACCCCAACAGGAGCCATGGCACAATCCTGTCAATTTTAACTTTCAGGTAGATGAAGAAGCTGTTCCTGAAATTGGCAATTTTTATACAATAAAAACCACAAAGAGAGGCAGAAACCCACAAGTTGGAAAAATTAAAAAAGCTTTGAAAAGACAGAATTAGTTGAAATGTAATGTGAACATGAATGTAATTGGGATAAATTATTGAAAGGAAGGAATATATCCATGAGGAGCCCAAAAAGCAAAACCTGGAACMTCCAAGAAGCAGCAAGATCTTCTCATTAGAGTTCAGGGTTTTCTTTTTGACCCAGGCTATGCAGAGCACACAAACAATGAAAGCATTTATCCACATGCCAGCAAATGCCTCAATGGTGGTGATGACTACAAACGTGGCTCCATATGAGGTGATGTTGGATTGSTGTGGAGAGTAACAAAGTTCCATGSTGCGAGCTGGGGAGCAGAGCTGTGCWGGCCAAGGGGGCTGTGGCAGCAGTGCCTAAGGCAGGGCAGTGGCTGCTGTTGTCTGAGTGTGAGGGATGGCAAGAGGAGCTTTATAGAGCTGCTGCTGCTGCTGGGGGGGATTTTGGTGGTGCTGCTGTGGGGAGCAGGGCAGGTGCAGGGATGGAAATGTGCTGGGTATCCCCTTACCCGGGGCCGGTGTCAGTCTGGACTATTTGAATGTTGGCTCAGTGGGGCTGTGTTGGGTGACACAAAGAGCAGAGATGTTTTCCTGCAGTGGAGAGTATTGTGGTTTTGTGAGTTATCCCTGTTTGATCAATGTCAGGCTTCAGGAAATGGAGTTTGCACTCAGCAAAACACAGCCAGGGCAGTGAGACAGGTAATSATGTCAGGCAATCCTTATCTGGAAAACATTCATATTGATCTGCTCTACCTTTTGTGTCTCTTCCTACCAGTCTCACCTGAGTATGGCCTGAGAGGATATGCAGCTGTTTGCTAAGATAGTTCAAAGCATTATCCTTGTTGCCATCTATTTTTAGACACTTCTTTAAGTTTTGAATAATGCAGAGGATAAATAAATTATAAATTTCTGTTAAAATCATATGTATCTCTCCTGTATCTCTTTTTTACTGGCCCTGATCTCAACGTTGACAACAAAACAGATTATATTATTACATGTAATAAAATATGCCAGCAGTATCTGTACCCTGGGTGTCCAAAATCCTGCTTGCTTTTCTCAGTGCTATCAGTTTATCKAATAAACTTTTGACCCTTGCCAAAATTACTCCAATCAGGGAATTTTGCTAACAGCCTCCTGCTCTTTCATCCTGGTAAATATTTTTTAAATAGGTTCCTATTATTAAAGTACACTTATTCATTATTTCTATCTAGAATTATAGGTATTTATAATCTTTTAAAAGCAGAGCAACTGCTGTTGTTATCCTCTGCTGTGTGTAGCAGATCTGAATGCTGAAATTGTTAACCTGGAGGCATTTGACAAGTTCAGCTTTGTGTTGATTTCAAGCCCTACATAGGGGAACAGACTTACCTAAAATTTGGGAAGCTGGCTGAATAACTTTTTATTAACTATGTGGTTGGTGTCACTTTGATATGACAGTTTTTCCAACTCAGGTGACATTTATTTTCATTCTTCCTTTTATGAAGGACATAGATTTCAGCCACATTTCTGTCTCAGAGTTTATTTGTGTTACAGTGGAGTTAAAACCAGTGCAAACAGATTAACAAAAGGTTTTATCTGCATTTAGTGATACCAGCTTGTGCCTGTGTCTAGGAATCCAGGGCTGATCTGTCCTTGGGTGTGGGAATACTGATGTACAGCAAATTTGGGTGCTTCATAAAATGTGGTCTAAGAGACCACAAGGCGCTTGCTGTACTACCCAGAGTGGAAAAGCAACAGCTTTTTCCATCACAAAGTTTTTTACAGAATCACGGATTCACAGATTCATTAGAGTTGGAAGAGACTTTCAAGAACCTTGAGTCCAACCCTAGCACCTAGCACCTAGCACCTCAACTAAACCATGGCACCAAGTGCAATTTCCAATCTYTTTTTAAACACATCCAGGGATGGTGACTTCACCACCTCCCTGGGCAGCCCATTCTAATGCTTTAGCTCTCTTTCTGTAAAGAACTTTTTTCTAACTGCAGCCARTTTAAGAATGTGCATGCACTGCCCTCCAGAGAGGACAAATGAAACTGGTGCTGGARTCCCTCTCCTCTGAACACAGACTGACTGCTGGAGTGTTCAGCCTGGAGAAGGCTACAGGGAGAGATTAGAGCCCATCCCTGTTTCTAAAGGGAGTCCAAAAACTCCCTATATATATGTATGAAAACAAATATATGCCCTCAGAATGACTTATCTTTAGGCTTCCTCTTTAGGTTCTTGAGTTATTTTCAAGTTAAAGATACTAAAAACCAAGTGTTTTTCAGATTGTTCTGATTTCGCTTCAGTTTTTTGTTTCTTTCTCACATCCACTGCTCCACATCTGCTAATGTAGCTTTGTGCTACATTTGTGTTTTGACTCTCTTTGCTTACCTGTGAAAACAGCCTTTACCTGATGTATCTTGAGACATGGTTCTCTTTTTCTAATGGCATGTCCAGCTCAACCTAGATGTCAGTGTCCTTAGACACAATCATTCCTAAGTGCTGAAGGACACCCATGTATGCTAAAGTATGGTAAAAATCAGTGCTTTGGGGCCCTTTCTCTCCAAACAAGGAAATAATCTCTATACTTTTTTCCTATGCAGTGTGTTCTCTTATGAAGCTTCCTACCTTGATATGTTTGGAGAAAAACATGTTGCTTAGGTTGAAGAACTGACTCCTTTCTAGGATAGGCCCATTTCCCACTCAAAACTTACTTAAACTCTCTGCCTTGTGCTGTGGGTGGTGCTGTCATGGCACAAGCCCCTTCCCATGTAACTGCTGAACATGTAGGTGAATATCTTCCCTTTTGTGACTTGTATTTTCAGATGTGAAAGGAAGGAGCAGGATTCCATGGCGAGTTAAAGGCACTCAAGCACTCCAGGGCACGGTGGACTCATGGGAATACTAATGCCCAACAAACTAGAGATTTATGGAGCCTTGGCTCAGTTGKACTATGTGCCCTTCCTGCCCCATGACCCCTGAGAAAGACGACAGCAAAGTGCAGCACAAGAGTTTGTGATCTCTGAAACCAATCAGAAAACAAAGGAATGTCAAACGGGAAAGCCAAGGATTACAGGTATAAGTGACCACTTCTGGAAGCAGAGAGTGGCATGTTGTGCATGGAACATCAGTTCTGGGATGGGATCAGCTGAGGGAAAACACTGTCAGGGCATTCATAATCATATCTCTCGTACTTCTAATCTTTACTATGTGATGTTAATTGTTAATTGAAGGCCGCAGTCGGCCAAATTCTAATTGCACTGGAGTGCAATAAATCTGGAATAATTCTGCTTAAGAGTGTGGCTTTTCTCCTGTGCAGTCAAGATTGTAATGCTGACAGATAACAAACACAGGGGAAGCAGTCAGCAACTTTGGGCCAGATGGAGAAGCTGTTCTGTGAAGSCTGGGTGGGTCTCTCACCAGCTGCACTCAGGGCATGAAGTTACCACATTTCTATCCACAATGTTGCTCCAAGTGGACTTAGGCAGCTGATAAGAGCAATGCCATCAAATGCCATCCAGGGGGTAAATCAAACTGTTATAACGTTTCAAAGGTGGAAAGCCTGATGCTGGTTGGCTGATGCTTTGTGGAAAGCTCAACAGCATGCCCTATATATTACCAGAGAGGAGAAGGACCAGCTTCTGTTCCCACTGTAAAAATGGGCTCCAGCATCTTCCCACTCTGCCTGACCCTCCTGYTGTGTTCTGTCTGYGGTTCTCCAGTCTCTGTAAGTAAARCCTAGTTTCTMCAGGYTCCTCTCAGCCCAGAGGCATSTCATACCTTATACTGGTTTTATTCCACTCTCTTCCAGGAGGAACRCCCCTCCAGTGAAGCTGGTAAGTGCTGTGTGAGCTGGTTTGAGTTTTGAAGCATTTTCTTCTACTTGCTGTGTGCCACCACATCCAAACACTTTGTTTTGACTGTCTTGCAGATGCTGGAGCTGGTGAGGTATTCAAAGACATTCCCCACATCAACTTGGGTGAGTTCATGCCTAAATTCTCATGAGGTCTCAAAAGTTGTGGGCAAAATGGTGCATTTTCAGTATTGTAAAAGAGGCTGATGGTCAGGTAGCTTGTGGTGACAAGAGAAATATAATCAAGTGAGCTCTGAATTACCTTCCTCTTTCTGTGACACCCGAGTCTTTCCAGGACTGTAACCCTGTGTAAACAATGGATGGAGATGTCTTATGTTTGTGAAATTTGGACAGACCTACAGTGCCAAGGCAGAAAAACACTGTATGAGTTGGAAGGACTCTGCAGTTCCAACAGCATTTTCTGCCTAACTCTATATGATTTTTATAAAGGTTTGCAAACATGGAAAACAACTTAGGTGTTTATTGATTCCATCCGACTGTGTGATACTTGTCATTGCCTGAGAGCAAGCAGAGGTTATCAAATGAGACATGGATAATGGTGCCACCACAAAGGCAGACATTGCTCAGAAGTAAATATTGAGTAGAAACTGGAAACTGCTGTTACTTTTATTATTGCCTATGTCGCAGTGTATAAAGGCTGATCCTTATTTATTTTCTTGCCCAAGGGTATTAACCTTGTATAATTAGGTTATATATTGATTATATAATATGGTTTATGAAATAAAATACATTTCATATCAATCACTATTTTTGATTTAATTGCATTTCAGCTGCTGGACTKGACCTCTTTCAGGGTGATATCTTGCTCCCTGTAAGTAATTAAAAGCTTTCTGTCGCTTGTCCTAATTATATTTTTGCTACAAATCAGCTCATCTCCCTACAGCAGATGTATCACCAGCTGTTAATTCCCTTTGCAGAAAAATCAGCGAAATGCCTTAAGAGATGAGATCTACAGATGGAAGTTCCCCATTCCCTATATTCTGGGTGATGACCTAGGTAATGCAGACACTTTATTCAGATTTTAGCTCCAATCCTTATTTGCACTGGAGTCAGTGTGATACAAAAATTGCCTTTCTCAGATTAAAATGTTAACATTCACTGTTAACTGCTTAGTGTGTTCTCATTTATATCAAAATTGTTTTTCTTTCTTCTACAGCTAATATAGCAAACCACAATTTAATAAAATTCAGCAATTTCTCTTTTCAATCATTTTTCCTTCAGTTCCATGTGTGTATCTGTTCATATCTTACTTCTCCAAGGTGAACTATAATGTATTAAAGGTTCTTTCCTTGTTTTCCAGATCTGAATGCCAAAGGAGTCATTCTCCAGGCATTTGAAATGTTCCGCCTCAAGTCTTGTGTTGATTTTAAGCCATATGAAGGAGAAGGAACCTACATTTTCTTTAGCAAACAAGATGGGTACGGATATTATCAATTTAGTTTTATTT